TGTGTGTGGGGGGGGGGGGGGTGTAGAGAATTTGGGAGTAAATTTGAGCCTAGGAAGAAGGAAGGCGTGGGGGAGGTGTTTTTTAAGATTTGGTTTTATTTCTCATTATCCTACTCTGATTTGATTGGTAATAAACTAATTTCCCCAAGTCAAGCTGATTTTGCCTATGACGGTAATTGGTGTGTGATCTCTTCCTGTCCTTATCTTGACTCATGAGCCTTTCGTTGTATTTTCTCTCCCCTGTCGAGCTGAGGAGGGGAGTGATACAGCAGCTTTGGTGGGCACCTGGCATCCAGCCAGTGTCAATCAACCATATATGGGCAAATACAAAGACTGTATTGTATCCAAGCATATGCTGAAGAATTGGAACCTGTTTTTCCAAAGCAGTCCACACTGAATTTTCCAGTAAATTAAACAACATAGGAGGGGTTCTTAAGGCTGTCTTTCATTTGCTTATTTATTTACATAAATTTGAGTCTTGCTTTGTTAATTAACCCATTGTCTGAAGTTTTGGAGCATAAGCACTAAGATTTCTTAGGAACTCTCTAGGAATAGGCATAGTTTAAAAAAAAAATAGTATGCATGAATTCTTTGGTGAACTATGATCTAATTCCACTTCTGGTGAGGAGCTCTTCAATCCTTTAATTTTCAGTAAGTAGCGGAAAGCTAGGAACATTTAAATGGCGCAAAAACCTGAAGTATCTTTATGAACTGTTCAATAGGGTTTCTCCAAAGACACTGTTAACATTTTGCACTAATGGCATACTACTTCGCACGCTAATGGCAGGAGACAGCACTCTATCAACTGTGACACATATTATTGTGGTAAGAATCCTGTTGTATTTCATGTGAGGTGGAGCAGTATGTATTACTTGTTAATTGGAAGATGAGATCCTAGTTTTCTTTATTAATTTCTGAGCATTTAAGGCATTTTTGTTTGTTTAGAATCTGAATTAATGTTAAAGACTTACTGACTCTTTATTGTAGCATGTACACATTTGGGTGTTTTTTTGTGTAAGTATCTTATTTTAGGTTTATGCTAATAATTATTTTTGGAATCATGATGCAGTTGTGGAGGACAGAGCTCTAAATTTTTCCAAGCTTTTTCTGTCAGACAGCAGAAAAGCCTTAGGGAGGCTTATGTAGATATGATTCAATGTAAGTGTGTCAGAATTTCTTGTATCAGGTACTTGTTTTAGCAGTAACAGGTTTGTGGCCTATTTGTTTGCCCAAATGTTTTCAAGATGATGAGTAGTCTAATTTTCAGCATATTATTTAAGTGTGTTCGTTTATGATTATGTGAATATTCCTGTTGTGGAGTTTGATAAGTCAGTGGAACCAGAATGTTTACAGCAAGATTAAGTTCTCCACTGCTGAAGACAGAAAAATTCATGATAATTTTAGGTGTCTGCTTGTTTATCCAAATTGACAAAAGTGTGAGAATGACTTATACATTCTTGACTTCAGTCTAAAAATGTTGTATTTGGGTCCCTGCTTCATAAGTTCATAACATAGAACAGAAGCACACACCAACAAATATGATTAATCAATCATGTGCCTTAATTGATGATAAGCTTTGTGCATGACTTAATGGATGTAAGCTATCTAACTTTTTTCTGGTTATGTGGTATCATACATTTGTTTAAATGTTCATCAGTTACGAAGTGAGAATTTTTTAAAATAACATTTGTAAGATTTGTGGTTTATGTCGTTATCTTGAAAATGAGATTCAAATATAAGAATTAGAAAAGTTTCAGAAGTTCACTTTAACCTCTGAATTAGAGATCTGTGTGGCTTGTGCATTACCAGTGCAGTCTGCTCTGATATCTTTATAAAACTTTTTGAAATATCTTTTGACTTTTGGATAGTTTTTTAAAAAATCCTAACTTAAACTAGACTTATGCATTTTAATGTGTTTGTAATTTACCAGCAAATTATGTATTTTAGTTTTTAAAAAAGTTCCTGTTTGTGAAAAATTATAGTCTTGGATCTGTGGTGTTTAACTGTTTTGTTTTATTTTTTCCTTTTGTTATAGGATGAAGTACATGAGAGGGATAGGTTCAGTGACTTCCTGTTAATAAAACTGAGAGATGTATTGCAAAACCAGACTAATTTAAAACTAATTATTTCTAGTGCTGCTCTAGATGCAAATCTCTTCATCAGGTATTTTGGAAGTTGCCCAGTAATACACAGTAAGTATTTATGTAAATTTTTAAATCTGAGTGTACCTGCTCCAGGACTTACAGATCTTATTAAACTGTAGCAAACCATTCTGAATAAGGGAACATGATAAATACACTGAGAGTTACAGCAATGCTTGTTCATTGTTTGTTCATTTTTGTTGTTTCTTAATTATTTGCACCTACTTCAGGGTGAAGTGTTTTTATCTCAGGGAGTTCTGTAAGTGCAGGGATGTCCTGGTGCCCATCATGTTCAATTCAAGAAGCAGGAGAAGGTTCTTAAAGTGCTGATATCCATGGTGATATAGACCCTATATCTACAGGAGTGTGGTATATGTTAATTCATTCCGGTAGATTCTAGTTCTTCAGTCCTCACAGCGATTGCTACTGGTTACTGGGCAAAACACAGAAAACTGCACCTGTTCACTTCAGAAATACAGTCCGAGGCAAATTGGGTTTTCCTGTTTTAATCACATGATTCTAGTCTTCACAGGCTAATCACAATTGAAAAGACATTTTCCTTTTTCCATTTTTGAGAATTTAAGAGTTAAAAGAAGAGGGTTTAGGTACTTCGTCTGTTAATGTAATGAAAAAGATTTGATCCTTCCTCAGCAATATAGCTGACAAAATCCTGACCACAGAAACCAACATTTTGTACTTGTGGGTTCCTGTTATACACAGAGTTTGTGATCAATGTTGGAAGACTTCCTCCATGACATCTTCTAAAACTATGTGAATTTTAGCTAGTTCTTTCTGAAGAAGAGGGAAGTCCTAGGTGATTTAAACTCAGCTATGGCAAATGTCTGCTAAGGGACCAGAAATTCAGATCTAGAGGTTTTAATTCTTCCTGTGAAAAAGAATCCTTCAATGTCCATAAATAAGGTCTAGAAAACAGTGATAATTGAAAAAGAAATCAGGGTAAATTATTAGGAGATAATGACCATTCGAATGTCTCATGTATCAGGAGGTATTCAGTAAAGAAAGCCAAATTTGGCTGAAGTGATTGAGGAAATTGAGTGAAGTTCATCTCATATACTTCTCATGAAAAAAAGTAGTTTAATACAAAGGTGGCTGTCTCCTTGTGGGATCTTGCACTAAAGCTGTGTTAGTTGCTGTTATATTTTGTAATCCAGGTGGCAGTCTTACACAGTGAGTTCTTTTTTGAACCCTAAAAAAAATAGCTATTTTCTTTCTCTCATTGCAATAAAATTGTAAATAATAACTGTCAGTCTTCTGAACATCTCTTGCTATAACACTTAATAGAATTGAAGAGGTTAATGAGAAACAAGGTACCCAGCTGACATTTCCCTTTTGAAATGTTGTTTTGTTTTGTGGCCCAGTAATCTTAAGAAAATAAACTCCAGTGAAGATACTCTTACAAGACTTTTCAAGGAAAGTAATAGTTCCTTAAATCAGGCCCTAATAATGTTTAATTCACTTTTTGTGTCTACAAAAATACTTTTCTTAAATTAAGATTATGAGTGAAGCTAGGGAATATCTAATATTTTATGAATTATTTATACTTTCAGTACAAGGAAGACCTTTTGAAGTTAAAGAGATGTTTTTGGAGGACATTTTACGAAGCACTGGGTATACAAACAAAGAGATGGTAAAGTACAAAAAAGAGAAGCAGCGAGGTTGGTGGACTTCTTAGTTATTAGGGTTGGCAGTGAGCCTCATTGATTGATTGAACAACTGAATAGGATGATTCTCTGTTAAAATTCCAGTCAGAATTTTAAATGAGACATGTGTAGATGACAGCAATTCTCTTTAATCTCTCAGTATTTACATTATTGAATTAGATTATGTAACTTTAAAAAATATTTTTCACTTTCTTTCAATGGTTGCATTCTTTTTGCTTTCAGTTGATAAATGTTGTATTTTTCCTAATTATTATGGAGTAGAATTGCATATAACTGGGGCCTTTGCCCTTGTGAAAACTATGTGCTGACTTTTGGGTGCAAATTAAAGTGCAGCAATTAAAGAGGGCAGGATTTTGTATATCTTGCACAGAAGTGGTTCCTATTAGTCACGTTTTTCACTGCATTTTTCAGACATGGATGTATTTAGTATATATACCTCAGAAGCATTAGCACACTTGAACTTAATATAGTTGTTTTTCAACTGATTAAGTAGTTATATTATTTGGGGGTGTTTTCCTGACAGCTGAAAGTAATGATCCTAGTGTGTATTTAAAAAAAAAAAAAAGGCAAAAACCAAAGCTATAGTATAAAATCCTAACTGTACATTTATGGTGGTGCTCAGCTCTGATCACTGTGGATAGAAAAGTTCAGTTAAGGCACTGGTGTTTTCTACTGTTTCTTCTACCTGTACACAAAAATTAGTTGTTACATGCAGGAACTATATCAACTTCTTTTTGGTATTTCACTTCTGGAGAAAGATCTGGACTGAGAATTGTGTAGAAAATATTTACTTAGGAAGCTCATTTGAATGCAGTAAGTTGGAATACTGGAGACTAGGGGGTTAAGCACCCAAATGGTATTTTTGTTTACCTTGTTCTTATAGCAGTTATTTGTAATGGTGCACTTTGGGTGCCCATAATTGTGGAATTTATATTGGACTGGTAACAGTGTTAATTAAATAAAGGAGATTGAATAGGTAAAACTTTGTGACTTGATATAACTGCTTTTTGTAACTGAAAACAATGGATAATTTAGATAACTCTAAAACGTCTTTTGGAAATACTTTATGCATTCTAGAAGAAAAACAACAAAGCACTCTTACTGAGTGGTGTTCTGCTCGAGAAAATAATAGCAAACTGGATGCTCAGAGACAAAGATCTGTCCCAAGTGCAACTGAAGAGTATAATCTGTTGGATGATGGTGGTGACACAGTATTTAATCAACTGGTAAGTTTTTCCTTTTGTTGGAAGAGATGTTTAAATCCATGTTGTATTAGTCTACCCATTTAAAACCTGTTTTCTAAAGATATTTCTCCTGTAGAGTTTCTAGAAGGATATTAACATATTTTAAAACATGATTTTTTTTTTTATTAGCATGAACTACTCGAGCTAGAGTGTGCTTTTCAGTTATGATGGTTGTACATAACTTATTTAGCTCAAATGGCTAGACTGCTATTGTTTGAAGTACTTGCATATGATACAATACATTTATTGTGTTGTATTTAACTGATATCTGAATGCTCTGTTTCTGGTTGTTACTTGGAAAACTGTTCAAATTTGTCGTGTCTAATATATGAGAATAAAGACAACTCTTTGAAGAGATTAATCTTTCAATACTGTTTTTTCTCTTCAGACTGAAAAAGATGCGAATTGCCTTGAACCATGGCTAATAAAAGAAATGGATTCTTGTCTTTCTGATATCTGGTTGCATAAAGATATTGATTCCTTTGCTCAGGTGTTCCATCTCATTTTAACTGAAAATGTCAGTGGTAAGTTTCTCATCTTATTACATGAGAAAAAAACAACCACAAAATGACTTGAATTTCTGTGGCTACTTTATCTCCAATTTCAAATGTTGTTACCTTTGAATTCTGATGCCTGTTGAAAAAATGAATATGGCTAGCAGAATTAATGACTTTTGTAGTTATTTGTTGTTGTACTTGTTTTGAAGTATTGACAGATGTTGTAATATGTTTCTAAAATAGTGTTAAATTCACATGAACAGACTGGTGGGATGAAGTGAGGAAACAAATTCTCTTTGGGCTGGGTTTTGAAAGTCATATTCATACTACAGATAGATAAACAAATAACAACGTTTGTATTGGTTTTGCTGATCTTTTTTTGAACTTCTCAGTTGATTATAGGCACAGTGAAACCAGCGCGACTGCACTAATGATTGCTTCAGGGAGAGGCTTTCTGAGTCAAGTAGAACAACTGATCAGTATGGGAGCAAGTATCCACTGCAAATCATCCAATGGCTGGTAAAAACAAACAGAGATTGATTTGTTTGTCAATATATAAATGAGAAAGAAATTTCCGTAACATCTAAACTAATTTGCTAACTTATCAGACTACTGTAAGCACTAATAGGTTTTGACAGTCTGAACAATTTCTAACTTCTGTTATCACATTGTTTTCTGTAAATTCTAAATTGAACTCTTAATTAAACAGTCTCGAATATGGCATATACACTCTTGGTTTCAATGAGTCTGATTTAACACACTGGTAAGAAGAAAAATAGGAATCTTTTTCACTGGGTTGATTGAATTAGACCCGAAATGTTTGGCAATTCTTATTTTAAGAGAGTAATCTATAGCAGATTTAAAAATAGTGAATTACAGGTGCAAAGATCTTTACTGTATTACATCTGTAAATATATTGTATCATGTAAAAATATTTGTGAATCTGTAAAAATTAAGATTTTTGTGTCCATGAATTGTGTCTTCGTATAAGCAGGGAACTATAGTAAATAATTGCAATATGGAAAGACAAGAATTAGGATTCCAGGGGTCTGATATTTGGTACTACCACTTGAAAAACTTGGGAAGGAATGCAGTTTAAAGGGAAAGCAGTGAACTGCATTGCAAGGTGCGCAACTTCCGTAAGACATCAAAAAACCCAATGTTTTCACACATTTTGGAGAAAAATGTCTGGGGTGTGACTTCTCAGCATGATTTAAAGAAGCTAGTAAAGGGTACTGCAGAAAGGCATGGCTTATCTCTGCACATTGGTGTGCAGTTTTTGAAGGAATGGCACATTTTTCTTCTTCATTTCCTTCTGCATGTTTGCATATATTTCTGTGTAAAACTGGGATTCTTTCTTGGGAAAGAATTGCAGTTATCTGAGAATCATATAGGTATTACATCTGTTTATGCACTTTAAAGTGGGAAGTTGCAGATCCAACAATAACAGCACTGATTAAACAATAATGCAGAAATTGATAGAAAAGCGTGGTGTTAGTTGCCTCCTCATGTAATGTCCTATTCATATGTTTCTTTCGAAGTGAGAAATTCATAAAGATTTTTATACAACTCTTTCAGGATGGCTTTGGACTGGGCTAAACGCTTTGGACAGACAGAGGTTGTTGACTTGTTGGAGTCCTACAGGTAAGCTATAACTACTTTGCAGAAACAGTTGTATAACATGGTGAAGGGAAATTCATGTTTTGTCTTCTTTTAGTCAGAACATTTTTTAGCTTTTTATGATTTAAACTCTGTCCTAAATAGCAAGATTTATTTAAGAATAGGAATATTTCAAAAACATAGTTATTTTTAAAAAAGTTTGTTTGTATTCAGTATCGTAGTGATTATGTTTGCACAACTCCTAGGATAAATATAGCTGTAGTGGTGTAGGACTTCTTTTATATTATTAGTGTTTATCATCTTGATATGGACATTGCTATCATGATTATAAATCTAGGCAGGATGTGATTATAGTAACTTAAATAAATATGCAGAGGAGATGCCGATTCTATACCATGTTCCACTTTAATTTCAGATGCTTATTTCGGAAACAAATCTATTGTGTGTTTTTATCTGTGTATTGTTGGTACATGATAGCCACATTAAAGAAACTTTATATGAGTAACATGTACACTAGGCCATTCAAGAATTGTTTTTTTATTAACTTACATTTACCGTAGTTACAGTCTTGTAGAGAGCTATATTATAATTTCTCTTAGTGTAGCCTCAGTTAATGTAGTACCTGCTTAACTGTTACGGCAGGGAAGTGTTTAGAAAATACATTTCATTTAAATATTTTTCCTTTAACAGAGAAACAAATGATGTCGTTACTCTTTGAGTTCTGTCACATTTGCTTATGGCTGGGTTCCAATGAGGTATAATAAAGATAATGCTAAAAATTGAAGTTGCATGCTTTGCTGGGTTAACACTTAAATCAGCGAACAGTAATAATATTGTGGAGATGCTGTTCTGCTACATTTTAAAAAGAAAATTTGAGACAAGTAGTCTTGTTGGTCGTGATCTAAATTTGAATTGATGGCTGAATGCAAACCTGAAGTGAACAACCTTGACTCTGGCCTGTGTATTTGTATGTTTTAGTGCTTCAGTGGAATTTGGAAATCTGGATGAAAGTTCCCTGGTCCAAACAAGTGGTAGTGACCTTAGTGCAGAGGACAGAGAACTGTTGAAAGCTTATCATCACAGTTTTGATGATGAAAAAGTGGATCTGGACCTGATTATGCATTTACTTTATAACATCTGTCATAGTTGTGATGCTGGTAGGTATATACACACGCTCCCAATAAATTGCTGTGGATTCAGCTTCTGATTAATTGTGCTCTTTTTTCAGTAATACCAAATAGGTAAAACCTTCTGAGTGCTAGTATACGCAGTACTGACATATATTCGAAGTGAACTTTCTGCTTAACTCTGCAAACCAACTTCTTTTTTAGGAGCAATTTTAATATTTCTTCCTGGCTATGATGAGATAGTTAGCCTGAGGGACCGTATTCTTTTTGATGACAAGAGATTTGCTGATAATGCTCACAGGTAAAACCCCTCGTTTCTATGGTTGTCTTGAGTTTTTATTGTTTCTTTTAAAGATCCCTGAAATGTGCTCTTTATTTTGCATTAGATACCAAGTTTTCATGCTTCATTCAAATATGCAGACTTTGGATCAGAAGAAGGTGCTTAAAAGTCCACCTTCTGGCGTCCGCAAAATAGCAAGTATCAGAGGACTTTGGCAGATATTATATTGATCTATTTTGTCTTTGCTTTTGTAGTTGCTATAGTTTGGTGTTGTTTTTTTTTTTTACTTGCAGATTCTTTCTACTAACATTGCAGAAACCAGCATAACAGTCAATGATGTTGTATTTGTTATTGACTCAGGCAAGATGAAAGAGGTATGATTGGCTTAAACTTTCTTTGGGAAGTAAACTTCCTAGTGTTATTTTAAAATAAAAAATACATAAATTTTGGAGAACTATTTTTTTTTATAGTAGACTGAGAGCTAGTGCCTGTCAAGCAACAAAACTCACTGAGAAGTTTTGGCATCCATTTGTTTTATGACAAATACTGTAAATAGCTAGCTGTTTAAAAACCCTGGAAAAGCTATTGCAGGTTGATATATTGATGTATCTGTATCTTTTTTTTTTTTTTCAATTTAGTATTTTTGTTTGATTTTTAAAACAATTCCATCAGTTTAGACTGACATCTTCCTGAGACGTAGAGAACACTGGGAGTTCTCTTTGTCTTACTATTGTATCTAGCCCAAGTCGAATTCGTTAAGTTTTTAAGCATTGGTTTTGATGTCTTGAATGCCCATTCCCCAATTACTTGTTCAAGAAAAGTGAGATAACATAATGAGGCAGTTTAAGACCTAGTATATGGCTTAGAAAATAAATTGGATTTCATAGGAGATAGGCACACCAAATTTCTGACGTTGTCATGGTAATACATTTTTTTTTGCAATTTTGCATCAAATGGAGGAAAATAAGGATGTAATTTCCAAATGAGACAAAGAGGAAAATGTTATTCGATATAATAACATGTTTTTGCTTGGTTTGTGAAACGACAAAACACAATCTGTGTCTTTTATTGACTTACAGTTACCTATTGACTAGAAAACTTTAATTTAGAAAACTGTGTGACACAAAGATACTGTGAAGGAGGTAGCACAAATTCTCTTGCAACTAAGTACTTTAGAACATACCTTTGTGCCAGAAGGTGCTGGTGCTTATTATTTATTTTGGTTTTTTTAGAGAACTTCTGTTTATCATCTAAATTATTAGTAACTTTTATTTCACGTACCCTATTCAATCTTGGTTTTATGTTCCTTGCTTTGCTTTTATAGAAGTCTTTTGATGCACTGAGTTGTGTTACAATGCTAAAAATGGTGTGGATTTCAAAAGCCAGTGCTATCCAGAGAAAAGGCAGGTAATAAAAGCTTCATACTGAATTTTATTTTGCAGATATCCACTGTCCTGTATGTTAAGGATAAAGTACACAACGTAATAACAGCCACACTGGGTAATGTTACTAGCCTAGTCCAGTATCATGTTGGACAATGGCCAATGCTAATTCTCTACAGAAGAGTAAGGGTCAGCATGTATTTCCTTGGAGTCATTTCCGAAGGTGTAGAAAAGTGACACTGAGGGATTTCCCAAAGCTTACATTAGGACTAGGTTGTTTTCCCCGCGTGAACATGTTCTCCTTCCTCTTTCTCCCATGTAGCACCAGGAGCCACAGTGTCCAATAAGGTGTTTCACAACTTACCTGTGGGCAAAGGGCTGCCTATTGCTAGTTTTTAATTGATGCCCCTTCATCCCTATGTTAGAAGAGATGTTGAGCAGTAATTCCTTACTCACCTTCTCCAAACTATTCATGACTTAACAGACCTTTATCATATTCTTCCCAACACTGAGTGAGGGCTACGAGCATACGTAACAAAAAATGCCTATGTTTGATGATAGGATATTGGCATTAACTTGCAGGAATTTGAGTGTAAATGTGAACATTTGCTGTCTCTGTCCCCTCACTCACAAGTTGTTTGCTCTTCATTCTACCTTTTACTCCCAGAGTAACTTCCAGCTGTTTGGGGGATGTGAAAAGCAAGAAATGAAGTTTAAGACTTATATTCCTTACAGCAAAGGACAGTTGAGATTTGGATTGATCTTAGGTTAGCAAAAAACCCACATCACTTGATTTTTAGATAGGCCTTATTCTTGTTTTTCCAGATCTTGTTGGCGTAAAATTATAATAACACGTTTCCATACTATCAAAAATAATTCATGTACTGGAAAACTCACCTTAAATATGGGACTTACACTTAATGACAAAATTACCCTTTTCTTAGACCTGCTTCTACATTTCCATTCTAAGTTTGTGTGTGTGTGTTGGTTTGTTTGTTTGTTTATATATTTAAAAGGAATTCTAATTTTCAATGACTTCCTATATTTTATTTTCAAGGGCTGGGCGCTGTCAGCCTGGAGTCTGTTTTCGTCTCTTCAGCAGGCTCCGATTTCAGAATATGCTGGAATTTCAGACTCCAGAACTTCTAAGAATGCCGCTGCAGGTGCATGTTCAGTTACAAATTATAACTTTTAAAAAATGTATTACCATCAAACCGTACTACGAACTCCAAAAAGTGTTTGGTGGTGGGTGATTGGGTTTTTTTTGCAATCTTAACAATCTTTTTCTGCTTTTTTAACTTGCAGGAGCTTTGTTTACACACAAAACTTCTTGCTCCAATTAATTGTTCAATTGTTGACTTTCTGATGAAAGCTCCTGATCCTCCACCAGCTTTAATTGTGAGAAATGCTGTGCAAATGCTTAAGGTCAGCAGAGGAATACATTTAGATGGGAATTGTATTTGATTCTATACTTTTGGCGTGGCAACGTATCTTAGTGAGTGTTGTCTGTACTGAGACTGTTGTTTAGTTACTTAAGGATGCTTTGAGTTTTTGTGTGTTGTCTATTTTCATTTTGTGTGTGTGGATGTATTTTTCAATGTTAAGGGAAAAGAGTGCTTAAAAATCTCATCTCAAACTGTTAAGAATTTGACTTGCTTTCTTAGTGTTTGGGAACAAGTCTAGTTAATGCCCAGTATTCACATCCTTTCTGCTTCTATTGTAAATGAATTTTGCCCATTTCTCCCATCACTGTTTTTTTCCTTTTTTTTTTTTTTTTTTTTTTCCTT